TTAAATAATCACATATTTTTGTTATCATACACGTTGATATTATTTTGTTTTTCCATCAAACCCAATTAATATGCAATTGATATATGGCGCATTAATATTAACGTATATTCTAAAATAGTACTTGTATATGTATATATATTTTAATTATAGTTGCAATTGCGCAGTATTATAATTAACGAGTTTATACGATGACGCCTACCAAACATTTTCATTATCCCATTAACTGTTATGGTATTTTGTGTGTGTGTGTGTGTGTGTACCTATAACATTTTGACATATTATACTAAATTTGATTTTATCATTTATGTTTCATGTTACACATAAAATAAATAATTATTAACCCGATTAGAAATCAACGTATTGGTTAAGATTCATTTTTAAAAATTTGGTCATTAACAATGAGTTATATGAAATGTTAATAATACAAATAATATAAATAAGTAAATGGATTCGTTTTAAAACCAACTAGTATACTTATGATTCTAAAATATACCGTATTATTAAATACGAATATGTTTATAATGTAAAATACATTTTCCAGGTCACTCAATAATGCAGTTTTATTACTTTATTATTATATAAATTCTAGGTAGAGGTAATATTTTAATATACTAATCACAACGTGTTATTAACTATCGTCGACAATCAATATATATTAGATATATACATGCAATTAATTGACATATTTTGAGCCATAATGGTACTTTCACGTAAAAGTATATGTAATATACCGGCAATTTGTGAGATTCAAAGTGTTTAAAGGGTTATTTTCTATAGAATCAAAACGTCAACAAGTACACAAAAAAAGGACAAAATCATTTATACAAATAAAAATACCGCCCGCTATTATCGACCGGTGTGCTATACACATAAACACACACACGCACACACACACACACACACACACACACACACACACGTAGACGCTTATAAATATCATATAATAGGGATCGTGATATCTTGTTCTTTATACATGATGATGTTATTTTCCTTGGCGTCTATAAACTACCCTTTTTTTAAAAGCATCGGTTTCTTTGAACTATCAGGTCACCCTTATATAAGTAGGTACATATTATATATATACGTCACGACTAAACAAACGTTTGATTTGTACGAGGTTTTTTTAAACACTTTGTACTTTTTGGGTTTTATTACACGCGAGGAGTAGTCAATACACACATGTGGAATTGTGGACGCGGTATCCTATGGTATTGCAATGTAATGTATTGTATATATACACATGTATGAATATTATTACACATTGTATATAATATGTATAACATGACAAGTCCTTGGACCCGTTACAAATGAATATATGTACTACGACCTGCGATCAAGGACATCCGCTGATATAATGTCGCATCGCCGTCGCCGAGATTCTTGTAGCGGTTTGGTCGTGATCAACTTCTTTAAAATATTAGTTGCTGCCGACACCGTTCCAAAAAAATAAATAAAAGATTATTCGTCAAAGGTCTTCAATACCCGCCAGAAGAACATAACCCTTGTATTCACCGGGGTGCAGAATAAAATCGGGGATGTGTATATAGGGGGTGTATAATACGAATATACAGAAAATTACTAAGCTACAAGATGAATATTGTAACAGTAAATTATTACAATTATACTAAAACGAACCGAAATCAAAACTCGTATTTTATGAAAATGCAATACTGATGTTAGGATTAATATGATAAATTTGAAGAAAAAAAAATGTATTATTTATTATTTTACATAATACAACATGGCTGGTCTATGCGATGATATCGGCTCGGTAGATCACAATAAATATTTTTGGATTTTATTTGAAAAATGAAATAACTGATAAGAAATAATATACATTTTTTATATTATATTTAAACTGTGTATCTTGTCATTGATGATCATTTTTTTGAACAAAAGAATCACAATTTATAGGCATTTCACACGACACTTGAGGTGCGTGGTTCACATACGCATTGGCAAAGTTTACAAAGACGAAATAAGTGACGTTTTTCTGGCAAGATATAATTTTATATATACTTATAGATGTTCGTATGTTGGTGATTCGTGAATCATTCGTTATTAACTACAAAACATATTGCTTATGTTACAGAAATCGTTTGTGTTCACCGGTGCACGTTATTACATTTAAATTATAGTTCTTAGCGAACGTGAAGTTTAAAGTAGAAAAACTAAACTTATGATATCAAGGGTCTATTTTAATTTATCCTGACAATATTATTTTTTGTGCGATTTTAATTTTTAATTTAATATGCTAGTATTTATTATATAGCTAAATGAGTACCAAGAGAGTTTTTCTAGATAATTTTGTGATTAAAACAATATGATTGTCGTTAAATTGACATTATGGCATAATTGTACTATAGTGCATAAACGCGTGGCAAGGTTACCAAATATATATAAAATTATATTAATAATGAAAAAATTCAGAGTATTGATATAAGTAGAGATAAATAATGTATAAATATATATATTTGTGTTAACCTACTATATAGTGGCGTAAACTGAATGGTGCAAATGTAGCACGTAGAACACCACATCTAAAATGTGGCGGTGCAAAGATATGGTATGTTTTTGCACTACCAGGAAATTATTGAAATTTGTATACCTATAATATTATGTTCAAAATCCAAGGAAATCAGCATACTAAAAATAATATTTGATTGTTTTTTTTTTATTAATATTATAATAATAAAGATTTTATTGCTAAAATAATTCAAAATTTATTTGTTATTTAAAGAAATATATGGGAAAATATATAGCTTATTGGGAAGAATTTTACTTAGGAAATTGGAAAATTGGTGTGTTAGAAATTATAAGTTGAGAATATGTCTCTGCATCACCAGAAATTGGATCCAATTTACGCCACTCCTACTATATATATATATATATATATATATATATATATAAATATTTTAACCAGCATAATAGTTCACTATAGGTACTAGGCAACATAAGATTATGTCATCTTATGGATAGTAAATTGTAATGTTTTTTTAGGATATGATTAATATCGCAAATGACTGGAGCGTGAGCAAAAATACAGAGAGGTGAGTCGTTAAGCGATAATTTAAAGGCATGTGAAGGGAGAAGAGTATGACCGAAGCGAAGGCGGGAAAATGAAATGATTATTTTGCGGGATAATTTTAGTTTATGAAACCATGACTTGGAAGGAATAGTGGGACTTAGAGATCTATACCAAGTGGCGAAATTTTGTGGAAGATTATAATAAGAATCGATCCAAAGACGGTAAACATAAGATTTGAGTTTAGGACAAAAGTCAGACCAGAGAATAAAATTGTAAAGTTAATAATAATAATTACAATTAAACAATTTTTAAAAAAAAATTTGCCATTACTAGACCAAATTGTTGAATACATTTTTAAATCAAATGCATGTCTTTAAAACATAATAATAATGAACGTTTTATTAATGAGTTAGAATATAAAATATTTTATATTATTATTAAGACACGATAAATATTTAATAAACAGTATAATAATTCAAATTCCAAAAATATCATTCAAAATCTCAATGAATTTTTCGAATTTGATTAGTATGTACCATGTACTTTTTATTAATGTACTTATAAAAAATTTAATTTAGAACAAATAAGGTATAAAATTAATACATACATAGGTATTGATATTAGATATTATATTATTATAGATATCATATACTATTGCAATGATTGAAAAATATATTAACACAATATAATGCAATAATACAATAAGTAATTATATACAATAAGATGTCATGTCAGATTCTGTATAAGGTAATTAAGTATAGCAAAATGTATCAATACGATACATAGTATATATATTATGGAGAAATGACAATAGTACTTATAATGACTTAGTTACTAACAGTGACTAAAATAAAAGGAAACAAACAAGGTCTATTGAAATAGTCATGAAATAATCATGGCATCGCAAAACGGCACTCCACCTAGGGTTATTTACCACATTTTTGACAGCAAAATTATATATTATATCCAGTGGCGCACTCTCAAAAATAAATAGGGGTAGCATATTGAATGGAAAAATATCACCAACCTCCTAAGTCACTTTCTAAAACATGCCCAGGCTTTGCCCCTTTCCCACTTTATATAAAATTTTATAACCTTATTATATATATATATTAATCATTATACCTATAATACTAATAACATATTAAATAAGGAATTAATCTTCAACTCAATTAACTTAATATTAAAGTATTGAATATTGATTTAAATTAAATAAGGAACTCAGCTAATTATTAAATATGTATAGTAAAAGTGTTTATTATAAATACAATTTATGCAATAACAAGTATAATTATTATTATCATTGTATGGCTTAATAATTACATATATGTACACTAAGACTCAGTTATAAGCTTTCATAAATAAATAAAAATTATTATAGTAAAGTATTTTTTAATAGACTGCTGTAATTGACAAATTTCTTCAATTGTTTGTAGTGTTATGGATGATAAAATAATTACTAATATTTTTCAATTACCTCTATATTGCTAATATACTAATTGCTATATTATTCTATAGTTTATTTTTAATATTTGTATAAATAGGAGAATTATGATATCGATATTTTGAGGCCAGGGTTAGTTACCAGTGGTTTGGGGTAACCACTAAAAAAATCAGGGTTTAGCAGCTGCTACCCTTGGACTCTCTGATGTGCACCACTGAGTATACCTTACCTACGTATAAGTATTATAAAAATAAATAATAATATGAACTTATAATAGTATGGGTAGATAAACAACCAATAGGCATTTACAAACGTAGGTGGGTTAACAACAACTTTTATAACCATAGTTATCCCAATCATACTCTCTACAGAATATACGGTGTCACATATTATACTATATTCACTGAGTTTTAAAAACACACATACGAACGTTCGGTAAGTAAAAAGTATTAAATAGTAGGTACAATAAATAATGTAATGAAAACGATTTTCGACTAAAACTTATATAAAATAATTGTAGACACTCACCATATCCTTGTGCAAGTCCAACGAGTTGATCTCGCCGGTGGCTGCTACACGGACGGGGTTCTGCTTGACGCGGCCAATTTTGAATACGAATATTCACATCCGATCCACTATGAACGCAGCTACTGGTGCCGTTGATGGGTGCCGCTGGTGTTCGTTGACAACTTCGGTGCGGATACGAATAACCGCGGAACTCGTACGACGTGAACGTATACGCGTGCGTATAATAGCGATTTAAAATATGGGCCGCGGACACGATTACTGCTGTCGTTTTCGTGCACGATGGTTCTACTGACCGGAAACGTCGTTTTCGGTGCAATCGAACGGCGACGGTTGACGGCAAAATAATGATGATCGGCGACGAAGCATCATCGTACGAACACGGTTGCGAGAAAACGTAAAACGGACGACGGGCCGCGGACCGGTGCTGGCTACCGGCGTTACCTGGTTTAGCAGGTGCGCGAGGAGCAACAACCGCGGTTTAAAACGTACTTCCTCCGTTACGGTGTTCTATCGTTCCGCAGAACGTTTGATCGGTGCGGTGCGGTGCGGTGGGATGCGAAATTCTGTAACATCGACGTAGTGTGCGCGCGTGCGACTAGTTTGAACGCGAATGTACGCCGTGTGCACGTTCGCGCCGGCCGATTGTGCACGGGCTCCCCGGTTACCGCGCGGCGGGCGGGAGACCGTCGGACACCGTCTTCCATTGGCCGCGGACCGCGCCCACGCGAAGTTTTTTTCTTCTTCCACGCGCGCCGTTTTTTTCCTTTCTTTCTCTTTACTACTACTACTACTGATATCATTGTTCATCGTTTCTTGTTGCCTCCTTCGGTCCGTTTACCCTCGCGCGCGTAAAACTAACAAATAATACATTATAGTATTGTACGGCTGTTTACAAAATAATTATCCGTGTACGGAACGATCAGAACGTCGCATTGCAGCAGTTTATCGTGCAAAAAACCAAACATTTTATGCAATACAAATCGTTATCTACGCGAGATTTTAATTTTTAGACTTTCTTATTAGGGAGCAAGAGAAACATTAAATCTCCTGAGTACAAGGGCGTATTTGAGTTGTGGTCATGGAGGGGGGGGGGAATTAATTTTTCTTCATTACAAATTTAAAAATAATTTACTGTTTATTACAAGGACGAACCCAGGAAGGGGTCAGGTTTGGATCCCACCATTGAATTTCTACATACTCAATGGTTTAATAGTAAATAGTATATAGTGTATTTGAATTTCCCAAAATTTTCAATATACAAAGTTTATAGATTATACTCGTATAATATAATACCTATAATGTATAAACCATGTTTAATTTATACTGCTTTTTTAATATTATTTATTATTGTTAATTAAATAATGTATTTTTTTATAACATTTTACTACCAAATAAAAATTGATTTCAAATTATAGTACCTACCTATTATAATAAACCTTTGTGCAGAATATGTATGATATGTGTATAACTATTGTGACTATTACTATACCTACCTAGTTATTAAGAGTAATTTGTTGGTATTGAATTAAACTATAATTATAATTACAGAACAGATAAAATAAAAATGTTGGACCCCCTAAAATATTCCTTGGTACGCCGATGGCTCATTACCTACAGCTCATGTTCCCGTTGCTCATTCGAGTGAATAAATAAAAATCCAGGTTTCAAATTGAATTAAATATTTATTTAATAAATATATTTAAAACCTACTGCATATAAAAAAAGTATTAATAATAACAACACAAACAGTTCTCATATTAAAATTGTACCTTTAGTCTGAAACCTGTATAAAACAACAACAAATAATCATAGTAGTAATAGTACCTATTAATAATTTTTTAAAAACTTTAAGAAACAATTAAGATAGGTAACTTAATTTAACAAATATTTAAGTAGAAAACATAAGGTTGGTAAGTAGTCAAGTAACAAATTCCAAATTTCTTTTTTTTATTTTGGCAAATTTTTTAATTGTTTTATCAATGGATACAATAATATTTGTATGCACATGCAGCAAAGCCAAACCTGTTAGTCTATGCCAGCCTATTCTTGATCTTAACCATGTTTTCAATTTACAAAAATATATTTTTGGCCAATATTTGCAAGTTAAAAAATATGGAAACAAATATTGTCAGTTATTATGATTATTATTTGACTTAAGGGTTTCTAGCTCTATAAAATACACAGCTATGCATGCATTTTTATATAAAAAAAATGACTAAATACCTATGCACAACAAAAAGTATCAGATATTTTGTAAAAAAAAGAAATGGGCGAGTAAAATTATTAAGGACTTATATACGAGTAGCTCTAATAAATACAAATATATACAATACGCATAAATGCACCAAAAAATGACTAACTAGTAAATGTATGGTAAAAAAAAATGTTACTTTAAATTATTTTATATTATATGATAAATACCTCGGTTATGGTTGTAAATATCTATAACTGTAGCAATATCTGTGGAAGATAATACCACTATTTGTTCTACAACGAAAAATGTTATGATATATGAAGATAAACAAAAATTGATACCCGTGATCAAATTGACATATTATTGAATTTATTATCATATTTTAATGATAGACTAGTAATTTATATTCTTAATTATTTATACATTACATTTTTTAAATAAATCAATATATTATATTAAAAAACAATACAAGCCATGGGAGAGCGAATGCCCCCCTTCACCCCTTTCAAATACGCCCTTGCTCGAGTATCTATTAAATATATATTCTGAAGGTATACTATTGTGTATTTTACCTATGTGCAGTGGAATATTTTCGTGGGAGGGGAATCCCAGGTCTCAACAGAAGAAAAAAAAGGTCCAAAAGTCATAAATGGTTTGCTATGAAGATAAAGAAAGAGAAAACATTAATTTATATAATGCGATTGTAAATTAGTCTTCATTTGTATTTATAATAATAATAAAACAGTATAATTAATAATTCATATCTTGTATGTATTTTTTATAATATATAAATCGCTTATTTTTTTTAGAAAAATTTAAAATCCCTCTCCCCCCACAATAAAACATTTGGAAATACGGCATTGCCTATGTATACAGCGTAATAAATAAATAAGTTTTATTAATATTATTTTACAAATAAATGTTGCCATCTAAACGCCATGCATATCGTGTGGTATTTCAACTATACCGCAACACATAGCAAATAACATTAAATATTTATCACGTACCTAATAAATTGCCCGTGCATTAGCCGCGTATCCTAAACAGTGTACACGGCTATATAACATGTCGATATCCGTGAGATCATTTCCCAAAATGGATTATATAAATAATATATGCTCCTCCGGCATTAGTGTAAGGTACCTACTAAGCAGTTAGTACCAACAATATTATAATTGTGTATAATTGAACATTCATCGATTTTAATGAGTCAATCGTACGTCATGGTTTTCCGATTTTTCGTCCGCATCCGGTTCTCAACTACCACCATATGCTGCATTAGTGCAATGTAAACCTATTAATTATGTTATACCTATTCTATGTGTATTGCATACCGATACAAGACACTCAAACCACAATGCAACGACTAATCCGTCGTGCAGCGATCACGCGCATTTATTAAACGCACATAAGGTATGTGGTATTAGGTATTCGTATGTGCAGTGTGAATGAAGTGCTTTACATGAGTTCCTTGGTAATAGGTTCACGCTCATCTAGAGGTTCACATATTATTACGAGGGTCCATGGAGTGCAGTTTCTGAATTTTTTCTCAAATAATATAAAAGACAACTGTAATTTATTCTTGTAGTACAACCATATCCGCAGGTAATACTTTTTCATATCAACATTAAAATATATTACATGGTGTAAATAAAATGAAATACTTTTTTTAAAGATGGAAAAAGGGTGCATGGTACTTACACTTTATATATTAAACAAGTCTATGACTCAGAAAATATTAAGACCCACCAACCAAAACTAATTACCTTAAAGAATGTTAACACACGTCCAGATCTATGATTAAAACAATGTTCTTGTTTGTTTTATTTTGTTTTTTTTATCGTATACAATATGTCCAGGAGAATAATGACCAACTGGCATCATATTTTGAAATCATACCATAAATATTTTTAAACTATTTTATAGGGCTTTCTACCAACATGCATAATTTAACCAAATAGGTTACATATATTTTTATTAAATTAAAAGTAATAATTGTTTGTCAATAATTAGTATTTTTTAAAATAATCTACGTGTATAGGTTTAAATAGTTCTTTATTTGTTCCGAATTTAATTTTAATTTTATCATAGTTAAACGTAACTTAAAAATTTCGTAATTGTTTATCATTTATCAACTAATAAGGGATTAATTGGAAATATACTCGTATTAATACTATGAACTCTGTAATTTTATTACTTTGTTCGTTAAATTTTATTTGGTGTACTTAAACTTTTACTATAACTAATAAGTTATAAGTGTCTACACAAGCCACTGTAAATAATTTGGCCATAAATATATCGAATATGTGTAAGCATCACAACATGTACCGAAATGATAAACACATGGTAAACGATAATCGAAATTAAATGACTCTCTAGGTATAACATTTTTGTCACATCTGTACCGAAAGTTTGGTTTTCGACCGCGGTCGAAGCGTTGGAATGTCACATTTATCCGTCAGGCGGACGGTAAGATGGAAATCCCATAGTGGCGGGTGGTAAAGTGGAAATCCCTATAAAACCGTGTAGTAAAGTGGAAATTTCCAAGAGCGCTGGCTGCGTATTCCCAGCATAACCAGAAACTTAAATGTATACCACGGTCCGTACAAAACATAAACTTTCGGTTAAATCTTACACACATATCACAACCTCCTTGCACGACGCATAAATATTTAAACATATTTCGTTTTCACTGTTCCCACACAAGTGCGTTGGACGTTACGGATAAATTTGTTTTGTGCGATTTATATAATAATTCGAATTAGAAAATGAGATCGTTCGCGCAAGTGTTACGTTGTCGTTAAAATTATCCCATTTCGTGTTAACCGGAGCACCCGATAACGGTGTCGGCATGTGATGTTCGAAAATTTTCGATCGGCGCGTTATATTGCGGTACGATTATCACCGGTCCGTAGACGCCATTACTGCCGGGACTTTTTTCCGCCGACACTTTCTTTGCGAACATCCGACTCGTCATTTTTCCCGTACCACCGGCCGTGTGTTTTTGAGGTTGCGACATAGCATGGTGGAGTCGCCATCTCCGGGGACAACTTCGTGTGTGTAACGACTGTTCGAACTGTAGGTGACCCATGTCTGCGAATTTTTCTTTCGGTTATCGTCGTGCGCGGAGAAGCCATTTACTGTAAATCGAGACCTACGCCGCTGATCAACCGATTCTTCTGCCGGTTTTGGCGTTCGTTGCACGTGTAAACACGGTCGCGTGGGCATAACCACTCGAGCGCCAGACCGTCCAAGGTACCTTCCTTTACAATTATTAAAAATATTACATTTATTTTATACGATTTGTCTTATTATATTATTACAACGCGTTTAGTGCATATGTGATTTTATTGTTATTTTTAGATTTATCATATTTATTATTACTTTTTTTGTTAATATTACTGTGGCGTTTTTGGCCAGTTTATCCC